ATTTTCATGACTGAAGTTGCTCTTACTCAGAGTTGCATGATTTTCATGACTGAGTTTGCTCTTACTCGGAGTTGCATGATTTTTATTACTGAGTTTAATCTTACTCAGAGTTGCATGATTTTCATGACTGAAGTTGCTCATACTCAGAGTTGCATGATTTTTCATGACTGAGTTTGCTCTTACTCAGAGTTGCATGATTTTTATTACTGAATTTAATCTTACTCGGAGTTGCATGATTTTCATGACTGAGTTTAATCTTACTCGGAGTTGCATGATTTTTATTACTGAGTTTAATCTTACTCAGAGTTGCATGATTTTCATGACTGAGTTTACTCTTACTCAGAGTTGCATGACTTTCCTGACTGATTGACTGATTTTACTATTTACCACCAAAATTTACTAGAGAAAATAAACCCCTACATCAACTTACCAGTCAGGAACGTCCCTGATGTCACTACATGCGTAAGATTCTAAGCTGAAGGCAGAACCGTTACCACAGCTGATAAGTCGTGGACGATTGTTGACGCAAACGATCAGGCGAGTACAGTCGTTAGGGGCCGGATAACGAGGGAATGGAAAATAAGTGGCTGATTTTCCCGAAACTTTTGTTGGACAGGTGAATCCTACGATCTCTAAAATAGTAAAAACAACAATAAACAAACAAAAAAGAAGAGATAAAACCTTAGTAGCATCATCTCAAAAAATAAATGTAAAAATTCAAGTGATTTTGAAAGATGCACATTTTTTGCATCATCTGTAAAAAAGAAAGAAAAGATAGAAAGTTTAAAATGGTATTTTTTTATGACACCACATGTTGTTATGGTAAGAATAATTACAATAAGTGTTAATAAGGTAAGTCAACTGATAACTATGGTGACAAAATGTATTAAAAGGATGAGTCACTAACGATGGCAACCCATTTTAACATTGTTCAATGAAGGTCCAGAAACGTTCGATTATTTGCTTTTTTTAAAGTTATTCTTTAAATAACAGTCTATTTTCGAGCATCCGTAACCGTTAAAGTAAATTATATAAAAGGTTTATTATATCATGTATTGTGATACATTCAAGTAGTAAAAAAATAATGATTTCAGATAATTCGCTTCTATTTGTCCGACGGAGATATAGGTAAATATAATTTACAGGTAGACAGAGAGAGATATAGGTAAATATAAGTTACAGGTAGACAGATAGAGATATAGGTAAATATAATTTACAGGCAGACAGATAGGGATATAGGTAAATATAATTTACAGGCAGACAGACAGAGATATAGGTGAATATAATTTACAGGCAGACAAAGAGTGATATATAGGTAAATATAATTTACAGGTAGACAGAGAGAGATATAGGCAAATATAAGTTACAGGTAGACAGATAGAGATATAGGTAAATATAATTTACAGGCAGACAAAGAGAGATATATAGGTAAATATAATTTACAGGAAGACAGAGAGATATATAGGTAAATATAATTTACAGGCAGACAGGTGGAGATATATGTAAATATAATTTACAGGCAGACAGAGAGAGATATAGGTAAATATAATTTACAGGCAGACAGATAGAGATATAGGTAAATATAAATTATAGGCAGACAGACAGAGATATAGGTCAACCTATATCTCTATCTGTCTACGTGTAATTTATATCAACCTATATCCCTATCTGTCTACCTGTAACTTATATCAACCTATATCTTTATCTGTCTACCTGTAAATTATATTTACCTATATCTCTATCTGTCTACCTGTAAATTATATTTACATAGTATCTCTCTTTGTCTGGTCTGGTAAATTATATTCATATAAGTTACAGTAGACAGATAGAGATATAGGTAAATATAAGTTACAGGTAGACAGAGAGAGAGATATAGGTAAATATAAGTTACAGGTAGACAGATAGAGAGATATAGGTAAATATAAGTTACAGGTAGACAGATAGAGATATAGGTTAATATAAGTTACAGGTAGACAGATATAGGTTAATATAAGTTACAGGTAGACAGATACATATATAGGTAAATATAATTTGGATAATAAGCAACGACTGCATCACCACCACGTCCAGTTTGATGAAAATACACAGAATGTATACAAGTTAAAACGTAGGCTGAATACATCCAATATATTTCTGTGCGAGTTCACTATTCAAGTCAATAATCACGATATTGTTATAGTCTATCTTCAAGCACTTGAGTCAATCGGTAACACAAAATGTCCTCCGACTCTCGGAAGCTTTCTTTTGACTGGAAATAGTTCAAACCATGTTTGAAATTTCTAGCGAACAAACCTGTGAAATTCGTGTTAAACAACAACAACAAAAACTACCAAGTTATAAACTACTGTATGGTTAATATTACTCGTACACATTAATCTACGGCTAACTCCATCAACGTTTCCCAAAGTGGGGGTGAGTCTCCCAGGGGGTGTAAGTAATCTCTTGAGGGACGCAAGTCCCAATGCAATAATACAAGATTAAGCGTTTTAATATATTTTTATTAATGAAAGTAATAAGTCATTACTACTATACATGTAGAATTTTAATGTGTATCCATGTATTTTATTTTATCATTTAACCCCTTCTTTCACTCATTAAAAAAAAAAAGGAGGGGGCGCGCGCATAACATCATATTTATTAAAGGGGGCGTGGATGATAAAAGTTTAGGAAACGCTGTAGTAATGTATTACATTTAATTCCACATGGGATAACAAGCTGTAAGAACCAGTTGGACCTAATCAACAGTAGTCAGGCAGTGTTAAACAAGAGAGTTTGTTAACAAGGTTATGATATATTTATGTGTGTATTAACTGATATCCAAAAAGTATTAATAGTTAATAAATCCTCAGATGATACGCGCGATACTTCCAAACATAATATAGTCGTTGATCATAAAATGGAATGTATTTTTAATCTATTTTTTAGTATTTTATTTCTATTCACGCGGTAGCTGGAGAACGCAAGCGGAGATTCTGAACTGAAGTGGGGGGGGGGGACATTGCAGTTGGCCAGATCTAAATGGTTGTTACAGCTTGTTATCCCACGTGGCATTAATTAACTGAATGTCACCAATAAGGTAACATCTATTTGAGTAGAATTAATCAGTGAGCCATCTGTCGGTTATCGTCTGATGATGGAGTTATCCACAAGCTATCTGAAGTGTAGGTTAATGTGTGTGAGTGGGGTTAATCATACAGTAATTTATAAGGTAGTTTTTTAATGGTGTATTCACGCAAAAACGTACTGGACGCATTCAGCTTACGTTTTGACTTTTGAACTTGTATACGTTCTATGTATTTACATCCAACTAAATGTGGTAGTAATATAATCGTTGTTTATAATCCGAATTATATTTGTCTAGTTCTTTATTTGTCTGTCTAGAAGAATTGTAAAACGATTGGTGCATAATATATATATATATATAAATACATACATACCCCCATATGTGTGTGTGTGTGTGTGTGTACTTGGAAATGTGTACTCTATTCATCCCCCCTAATCTTTTTATGGAAATTGTTAAACTTTACAGCTAAAAACATGGGAATTTTCTGTATTTCCATATTCCCAGGGAGCCATGTCATCCACGTCAGTAGGTTAGCCTCATTATTAAACAAAATGAAAGCATCAATTGTTTATAATATCAGATTAGCACTTACTTTCGCTATCACAGTCCTCCAACAAGTCTGGCCAGTTACACACGTGAATTCTGTCGTCGTAAGCCAGACCAACTTTACAATCTGTGATATTAGCTTCTCCCCAAGCACACTTGTAATACTGGGTGTTACAGCCTGAAGTCATGGGGAAAACTCCCCACTGCCACGGGCAGTTTTCTGAAGGTATAGGATCAGCTGTTTAGAAAAACAAAATATTTTTATTATCAAATGCAATTGAATAAATCCCAAACAATCAAATATTTATAATTAATGAAATCAGAATATTTTCAGGTATTAAAACAAGAGAAAAACAGTAACGTCAAAACAATTCGAAAAAAAAAACACACCAAAAAACTCGCATAAAGTTTATTATAACCACAGTTTTTGTAAGGTAACATAGCCCTAAATCTTACCTCTTTCTTTATCTCCACAGTTAACATTCCATAAAGTTTATTATAACCACAGTTTTTGTAAGGTAACATAGCCCTAAATCTTACCTCTTTCTTTATCTCCACAGTTAACATTCCATAAAGTTTATTATAACCACAGTTTTTGTAAGGTAACATAGCCCTAAATCTTACCTCTTTCTTTATCTCCACAGTTCACATTCCATGGATAAGTACAAAAGTCGTACACACCACCGTTTTCGGAAAAAACAAGGCCATTTGGACAGGTTTCCCAGGTAAAAGTTCCGTTCTCACATTTGTAGTACTTATCACATGCCTGTAGGTGAGGGTAAGCAAAAACACCGTATTCTGGACAATCGTTTATTGGCTCAACGTCAGGGGCCGTTAGTGGCGCAGGGCCATATCCTTCCTTAGAAGCCGGTAGACCTGAGAAGGTAAATTACACATACACACCCATATATATATATATATATAACACATTAATTTGAAAAAAAAAAGTTCGTTTGTTTCAGATAATCGCACAAAACTACACAAGTTACTCGTCCCTAATTTTAAAATGATACGCAGGAGGAAAGGCAAGTAGTCAATAGCACCCTCCGCCAATTATTGATGATGATGACAAAACCTTGTCGAAACGTTGTACATTTGCTGTTATGTTAAACTTATATTAAAGTTTTTCTTCATTACCCATTCAAGCCGTCTCCAGCCATTATTAGTCTCAAAGTGGGTTCCTCGTCATCGAATCCGGTAACTCTATATACTTTCAATAAAATGCGTGATTTCACAAAAGGTTAAAAAGTTTGACGGGAGGGGATACACAAAGAAAGCTGGCCTCGCGTGAGCCCCTCATTTCCGGTCTCACTAGAAATGGTTCACAGAAGCTGCCAATTGAGGTTCTCTTCCCAGGTTGGGGGTGACCATCCCTATAGTCCCCCCACAGTTGACGCTACTGCCTTACTCCCACAAACATACAAAATGACCCTCGGTGCATTACAGAAATTTAAACTGTGACTATCAGGTTATGCTTTGACTAATAGTTTTTTACAGATTCACAAGATCATCTGATGGTTCTTCTTTATATGAACACCTGCAGAAACGCCACCCTACGGACGGCTGTTCAGTCAGGTTCTTGGCGAGCTGAACGGTGTGCTTTCTCTGTCACGAAATTACTCCTGACTTCCAAATTCACCTTGGCCAGCAATTTGATGTGCTTCTGTATTTCGGGTTTGTTTCTGGCTTCTCCTCACCGGATCTGGCCTCATAACTTAGTGAACAAAGCCTACCTCTTTCTTTCTGTAACTGACGTTTCATTTTCTTTCTCAAAGTTTCATACTTGTTCTATGATAAGTCACTTTTCCCACTTGCCAATTTTTGGCATCGTGATTTTCGATATTTCCTGATCACTTCACACTTATATTAAAGTACAAAAAAAATACTCGTGTAATTTACGAAGGTCGAGTTACTACAAAATTCCTACAAATTTGTATGCAATAAACTCTCTATGAAGGACTTGCGATTGTTCGGTCATAGAACAATTCAATTCAGAGAGTCCACTCGGATTCTCTAGCAGAAAAATTCCCAATGATTCTTCACTAGGAAGACTCACTTTGAAATTCTTTGAAGTTTTTATATACATTATTACTCCACTCACTACACGTCTCAAAGTTTTATATACATTACTACTCCACTCACTACACGTCTCAAAGTTTTATATACATTACTACTCCACTCACTAGATGTCTCAAAGTTTTATATACATTACTACTCCACTCACTAGATGTCTCAAAGTTTTATATACATTACTACTCCACTCACTAGATGTCTCAAAGTTTTATATACATTACTACTCCACTCACTACACGTCTCAAAGTTTTATATACATGACTTACCACAACAAATATTTAAAGTTTGATTTCATATTTTACTGCAACAAATCCCCAAAGGGATTTATCAACACACTTTCATGTACAAATCTTGATTTTTACATTTTCTTTCAACGGGTAACAAGTCATTAAAAAAAGGTTGCTCGTTAATATCAATTAATTAATCCACTAAATTTTAGTCTTCCACCTGAAGATCATTAACTGACAAAATGGTGAAGTGTAATTTCAGGTTTACGCTAGCTCTGACAAAATGGTAAAGTGTAATTTCAGGTTTACGCTAGCTCTGACAAAATGGTGAAGTGTAATTTCAGGTTTACGCTAGCACTGACAAAATGGTGAAGTGTAATTTCAGGTTTACGCTAGCTCATGCATTTGTTTCTCTCGCATACTTTTTATTATTGGTAATTTTGTTATGATATGGTCTTATGAAATAATATAGAAGTCGACATTAGAAGTTCGTTTGTTTGAAGTTAAGCTCAAAGTTACACAATGGGCTATCTGTGCTCAGCCAACCAGGGGAACCGAAACTCGGTTTCTAGCGTTGTAAGTCCGCAGACATACCGCTGTGCCACTGGGGTAACATTAGAAGTAATGATATCAGGGTGCGTAGGCTTGGATTTCCTCCACAATAAAACAAGGCTAACTCATCAGTTCGTTGGAGAGTACAGCCACATTGGGCTACCTGATGTGTCCACCTCAGGGAATCGAAATCCAGATTTTAGCGTTTTAAGTCCATACACTTACCGCTGTCTCATCGGGGGGACGGTATTACTTTATCCCTCGTGCGTAACAATCTTATGGGATATTATTCTTTTGAAGTTAGATAAAAAAAAGAATATATTTTTTTTATTAATGACTTGTTATATAACTTGTTATTTATGAATTTTTTAGGGATGATATATGGAAACGCATATAACGAAGACTAATCGTGGTTCGTAATAACGATGTTCACCCTCGTGCCGTTGATTTAGACGTGTAACTTGAACCTTCATCCACTGCAATTTATTCTTTGATATATTGTTAACGGTTTGTTGAGTGGTAGGGTTCTCTTTCGAAACTGCATTGTTCGTGATTGAGTTGAAGGCGTGGTTTTGAATCCCGTTGCTGTTCTAAACACTCTGCTGTACGTGCTATACGAGTCGTTGTCGCTTCCACGGAGAACACTGAAATCTACCTTTTACGAAACGTTACTTCTATCCATTCTAACAATATGGCTGTATGAATAATTCTCTTCGGGAAAGGCTTTTCATATTCCTACAACTGTAAGGTACTCGGAGCGATATTGCACCTTTAATGTTCGGGAATTACTGTACACCAAATACTGAGGTGTTAAACCTACCAGTTGTGGTGCACGGGTTGTATCCACTGCATTAATACACACACACACAAAAGAATGGTTCAGACAAAGTGTAATTAACTCTCTCTCTCTGCTTTAACTTAAGTTGTGCGGGTTACAAATTCGAATTCCTTGTTTACTTATCTTCATCATCGTTCTGTCATAACACGACTTTAAACTTCTTGACAAACCTGCTTTCGGAGCCAAAGATTTCCTATTAACAGATCCCTGAATTACGTTTCGCCTCCACAGGAAGGCGATTTTTTTTTTTTGAAACGATTTCGTGAAACAATTCGATTCAGTCAGAATGACGCAATGAATACTCAATGCCATGTAGAACTTAAAAACGTTGACTCCTAAAACAGGGAAAATTATTAACTAAATAAAATAAAACTATGAACGTAAACGTGTCGGTTTTATTTTACTCAATGAATTAGCCCCTTCAGCACTACTAGTCAATGAAAACATGTTTCAACCAAGGTTCTACAAATTACGCCACACAAAATATCCAAGGTAATCCACTGTCGTATGACCTTTATACTTTGAAGAATTTACTGACCAGTTATTGAATAAACCTTTAAGTTCTGTTCCTACGTCGGAGCTTAACGGACAGGTTCAACCAGCTCAGCGCCCCCTAGTGATTGAAAATTAGGTCAAACTTTTTAGTTACTAGGCGCATTAAACCTATACAACATCTGTTACTACGCTTAATTAAAGGAAAATGTGAATGTACATGTGTAGTACTACGTGAATCAAGAGGACACCTGGTGGCAAAATATTCTTAAAACCAACGAGTCAAGTTTTCTGGTACGATAAAGAAAAAATAACATTATAATTTCATATTTTAAATGCGTTTCACATGAATATATATATTTACACTGGCTTAAGAAACAAACATTACTTGTATATTAAAACTGTGTGTGTATAACTTCTGTGTAAAATAAAAAACTAAATGAAAAGTAGATTTTTACAATTAATTAGTCATTTCAACATAAAAGGATCACATTTAATAATTCTACTTTTAATTTTTACAACTGTAAACGATATAATACATTCCATTTTGTAATATCATAAGTTAAATTTTGCAGATACAAAAATCTAATAATAGAATAATTTGGCAAGTGCTTTGTTTATAAAGCAAGAAAATCCAAAAAACAAAACAAAAAACACACACACAAACAAACAAAAAAAACAAAAAAAACAACAAGAATACATGAATAGGAAGAGACTAAAACCTTTTTCTCGTATTAGGGCCATTAAATGCTATCCAGGGCAAAAAATATCTGTATTTCATGTGTAGATTATTTGACAGCTGTGATTCTGTTTAAAACAATTATACTTACCAGCAACCGAAACAACTAACGTCAGCAAGATACAACAGGTTACCGCCATGACTTGTTCTACGCCACTCGTGTGTTCTTCAATGAAATGCAATTGCTTAAGACTTGGGGCCACTAATCTGTGCTGCAAGTTAAGTAGATTACGATCACGTGACTATCGGAGGTGGCGCTGCACCCACTTTATTTTCTTATTGAATGTTTTCTAGTATCTGTAACTGTTAGTCTAAAATAAATCATCTACAAAGTTTATTATATCATGTTTGGTTTCGTATCAAGTAAATAAAAAAAAAACATTTTAAATAAGTTGTCGTTTCTATTTGTCCAACCAAAACAATATACCAAACGCCGACAGACGGGTGGATAAATAGATAAATATAATTCGGATTATAAGCTACGATTATATTAACACCACATCCAGTTGGATGTAAATATTCAGAATGTACACAAGCTCAAACGTACAAAACGTAGGCTGAATGTGTCCAGTATATTTTTATGTTAATTCACTATTTAATATTTAATTCAATAATCAGGATACTGTTGTATTCTGTCTTCAAGCAGACTAACCACCTGGCCATACCAGGCCATCCAACAGTAATCAGGCTTTATTAAAGGAGAGAAAACTTGCTAATAAGGTTATGATTCATCTTTTCTTTGTTGGTGGTTTAGGTTTTTAAACAACTAATAGTTATTTTAGCAATGTCGACCAACTGTCTGTCTTTGACTGACAGTTGGTCGACTTACAGTTGTTTCCAACTATAAGTTGACCAAATGTCAATAAAACAGCTATAAGTTGACCAAATGTCAGTAAAACAACTGTAAGTCAAATAATTGTAAGTCAAATAACTGTAAGTCAACCAACTGTAAGTTGACCAAATGTCAATAAAACAACTGTAAGTCGACCAACTGTCAGTCAAACAACTATAAGTTGACCAAATGTCAATAAAACAGCTATAAGTTGACCAAATGTCAGTAAAACAACTGTAAGTCAAATAATTGTAAGTCAAATAACTGTAAGTCAACCAACTGTAAGTTGACCAAATGTCAATAAAACAGCTGTAAGTTGACCAAATGTCAGTAAAACAACTGTAAGTCAAATAATTGTAAGTCAACCAACTGTAAGTCAAATAACTGTAAGTCAACCAACTGTAAGTTGACCAAATGTCAATAAAACAGCTGTAAGTTGACC